CCTCAGCTCCCTGGGCTGAAGCCCAGCCTCTCTTTTTGCAGGAAGAAGGGAATAAACAGCTAAACTCCCCAAAATAAGTGACCCACAGGGATCCCAGAGGGAGAGGACAGTGAGGAAAGTGGGCTGGGAAGTGTCACAAACACGGGTGGGGCACGAAAACGTGGGAGTTTGGGGCTTTTGGGGCAAAAGGAGACGGAGCAATTCTAACAATCCCTTAAAATATTTCCATTCATAAATTTAATCTGGCACCAAAAAGCAAATTTGTCATCTTCCTGACCTACCACATTAATCAGTTTTAGTGTTTTGAAGGCCTCAAAGCCACGAAGACAAACATGATCCACTGTCCTGTTTGATTTAAGCTGCTGGAAGGGGGGGAAAGGAGCTCTTTCAATCACTGCTTTTTTCCCTTCCTAAGTCATTAATGGCACGATTTCCTTTCAGAGTCGTTGATGACATCACTGTTTCCTTTCCAGGCCCTTAATGACATTGTTTAACGAATAATAACTTGCCCTTCTGTCGTGCTTTTTTCGGGACAAACAACCCCAAAAGTGCTCTGCAGCGGGGAGTTGCTCCAGCAAAGGGGGGAAAATGAGGCACAAAGGGAGGAAGTGACTTTTCCAAGGGCAGAAAATTCCTGACAGAGCAAAGCTGGGAGTGTGGGAGTGCGTGTGTGTGTCGGGCTCTTGGCTTTCTTCACTCCCTGAATGTTCCTGTGGGTGTTTCTATGTCACAAATGCAGCTTTTAGCCCACGACAAAGGCCGAAATAACCCATCTGATAAACTCTTAAGTGCCTGCTCAACGATCCACTCTGAAAATTGAAAGAAGTAACCAGGATTTTCACCCCTTTCAGCCGCCCACCTGTGAAAACGGACCTTTAGTTGCCAGGGAACGAAATGAGTTTTTGGTGGAGACAAAAGGAAAGAGTTTCTGTCCTTTAAAAACCCACTAGAGAGGAAAAAAAAAAAAAAAACAAACTAAACAACAAAAACCCAGAAGTCTCTTTAGCAGAATTATATGTGGGATAGGCCAAAAATGAATTTGGGTGAAGTTTTGTGTAGGGCAGTGAATCACTTGTCTCTAACACCACCATTATTCTGGTTTTAATCCCTACTACAATTTAATTCCTATTACAATTCCTATCAGATGTGATGGTGGAACAAGCAGAGATCTGATCAAACCCTTGGAATGGGGCAGAAGGTGGGATAAAATGTCATTCCCTCCTTGAACAACCAATAATCCAAAGAGAGAAGAAGGGGGAAAGCAAAATAATCCGCCTGAAGCCTTTGCAGGAGGGCAGTGGCAGCCCCTGGAGCCCGAATTCCCAGATTTTCAGAATTCCCTGCTGTGGATTATTTACCCTTTCAAGGAAGGGCTTTGAAATCCCTTTGAAATTGCAACCACCATAAACTTCCCCGATGTTTTGAGCCCCCACAGTATCCAAAACAAGGGATGCAGAGAGAAAAGGCTCAAAAGCAAAGCTGTAAAGGAAGACAAACTAAATTATTTAGCCTTAAATAATGTGTTTAAATAATGTGTGGAGACTCCTCTCTGTGCTGGTTTTGCAGGGAGATGAAGGAGCTCGATGCATCCACATGGGTGAGAGGGATGAAAGCTGGGCCTGAAGTGGGAAAACAGCTCCCTGGAAGGGATGTGGTTTGGAAAACTCCTGGATTCTGGCAGGTTCTCCCCCGTGGCTGCAGCTGGCAGAGGGTGAGCCATCACTGCTGTGCCCTGTGGAGCCCATCCTGCTGTTCCAGCTGAGGGATTCTGACTCCAAAGCAGCAGTTCTTGCTGGTGACTCCAAGGAATTTGGCTGCCTGGGAAGGATTGCTGCTCTCATCTGCTCCATTCCCTCTTTCTCCAACCTGCCCAGGAGGAATGAGGTAAAACCTGAAGGAGCAAAGGGGTTCGTGGAGCAGAGACACTGATTTGTGTGGGTGCAAATAGAGAGTTTTAGCCCTGCTGGGATCCAGATAAATCCCAGTCCTCGCTCCTGATAAACCCAAGGGATGGTTTCCCCAGAAAGAAGGGAAGGGAGAGCCTTCATTCCCAGGAAAAGCTGTTGGAATACCGTGCAGAGAGGCAGTTTATCAAGTATTTGCATCCCAGTGTTCCCCTTCGTGTAAGCCAGGCCAGAAACACCACCCTGACACAGCTCAGTCCTTAAATTCCCTGAGAGCAGGTGGAATTATCACAAGGAACATAAACTTCCTTAATTCTCATTCTTGCCCTTAACACAGGACGTGTGTATTTTACAGATAAAATACCTGAAATATGAATAATCTGTAAAACACAACGTTGTGGCCCTACAGCCTATAAGAGCCTTTTATTTATTGTGTCTCGAGAATTTCCACGTCAGGCACTCGATGTTCACTTAGTTTATGTCGTTTTTAAAATAACAATTAAAGTAAATGCAAAGGATCCCCCCTGAAAATGAAAGATCATTTGTAACCAAGACTCAGACAAGGCTCAGAGTTCTGGTGAAGGAGCCTGGGGAGGAGTCAGTTCCCTCATCCACGATTTTCAGGATGGAGCAGTAAAGGACTAAGTTTAGTGACAACTTTTGTAGCTTCTGTCTGTGGTTACAACTGAGATGCTCAAGGGAAGCAGTTCCCACGAGTCAGTACTTTTAATTTTGCCTCCCCACATTAAAAGCACCGACTGATAAAACAACAACCACCATAAATTAAATACCTCCAGGTCTCAGCTTTCACTTCTTTCACTTCCCCCCCACACCAAAATTTTTTTGTCAGGAAACCTCTGTGCCCTTTCCTCCCTGGCCCAGCCTCTCCTCACCGCGGGGATTAGTTATGTAAATCGGGATTTAATCCCCTAAAGGCAAATTTGCAGTTCAAGTCCAAGTGTCTCCCGTGGCCAACTGGAACCGAGAGACCGTCAGGGCTGGGTGGATGTTCAGCACTTTGTCCTGGAGTTTAAGACAATTCCTAAACCACAAGGATCTCCTCCAGGTTACAAAGGCAACCAGCCAGATCTCTTCCCCCTCCCCACACCCCTCTTTTTTATTTTTTTTGCTTTTAAACAAGCTGGTAACACAATAGATAAAAGGCAAAAAAAAAAAAAAAAGAAGGGGGGGGAGAGGAGGGGAAACCCTCCCAGAATTAAAGTGAGCTAAGGCTGAGTGAATTCCCAGCAATGTGGTGACCGTATTGTCCGCCCCTGTGGCTCTCAAAGGAGGGGGATAAAAGGAAGAACAGCGTCCCAGCAGGAGGCTGCTCGGGGAGCCGTCTGCCTTCCAGCCCCGGGATGTGACGCTTGAACAGGTGCCATCTAAAGGATGCTTAAACCGGTGATTGTGGGGCTGAGCGATGGGTTTCCTCTCCGAGGAGAGGGGGTTTGTTTGAAAAGAAACTGTATTATGGGGCAGGCTGACCTTCCAAAGTCCACCTGTGGCAGGGGAGGCTGGGGGAGGAGAGGCTGGCCAGGCTAAAAGGGCTGACACTGGGTTTGGTCTTGTTTAAGCTGTTGTAAATCATAAAATCACTCCTGAGTTGGAGGAGACCCACTAGAGCCATCAAAGTCCAGCTCCTGGGCCTGCAGAGGGTTAGGATTCCCAAGAACCCAGGGGAACTGTTCCTGCTTTGGAATTCGAGTGCTCTCAGGCACGTGGGATGGAGGGCAGAGGGAGCAGGGCGGCTCCAGGGAATCTGTCCCTGTGAGAATCTGTCCCTGTGAGACACATCCATCCCTCCTCAGCACCAGAGGTGCCAAGGGCTCATCCTCATCACCATGAGGATGGCAGCACCAGCAAAATTCCCTCCCTGCCGGGTCTTCCTCTGCCAGGAAGAGGAAGGCACGAGGTTTGTACAGGAGGAGGACACTGGTGTGCACAAACCAGCCAATAATTGTTCCCTGCTACATTTCCCACCGTTTCTTTGCCCAGTCTGGCATCGGGCACTTCCCTTTTTTCCACGAGCACGGTGTGCTGGCTGGGGGAGGACGCACAGGAGAGATGATGAGACCCCTGGGAGCTGCTCTGGGTGTTCTCAGGCAGATGATTTCAGGGAGAGCCTGAGCTGTAGGAATGTGATGCACGGACTTTTGAGGCCTCTTTTCAAAGATTTGTCATTTTTGTGCTCCTTTTTTTTTGGGTTTTCCTCATTTCTCCATGAGTGTTCTGGATGACGTGTCCAAGACAAGGGTGATGCTGTGTGGACTTGGGAGGTGCAGGAGCAATCCCACACAGAGTTACTCCCTATATTTTAGGATGATTTCTTTTTACCGGTTTCCAGCTGATTTCTGACGCTCGTCCTGCCGGGGACAAACCCCCTCCAAGGGGGGGGGGGGAACATTCCAAGATAACAAAACAGGTGCCAACGGGTTAAAAGCTCTTCCCGAAGGAGCTGGGGGAGCAGGACAGCCGGTGGCGCTCGCGGAGCCGCGATCCGTCAGCGCGGAATTGGCGAGATAATGGGATTTTTGCGGAGCGGTCCCAGCTCATCCCTGCGGAGCGATCCACGTTCGCTCGGCTCGGGCGCGCATCCAGCGGTTTTGCACACGCGGGTGTGCAAAGGGGGGGTGGTGGTGGTGAATAAAAACACAAAACCCGCCGCCGGAAAGGGGGGGTGGAAAAAAAAAACAAAACAACAAAAACAATTAATGTCGCGCGGCCCCCCCCTGAAGCGACGCGCGGAGAGCAAACGCGCCCGCCCCAGCCGGAGTGCGATCCGTGAACCGCAAATTTTACCGGGGCGCGCGGGGCGGCGCGGCCATGATGAAGGGCGGGGGGGGGCCGTAAAGGTCTTGTGGTTGGGGCCGCGCGGGCGCCGCCCGCGCCCCCGCGACCCACCCCCCCAAGGCCGGGGAACCCCCCTCGCCTGCACCCCCCAACCCCGGGACCCCCCATCCGGCCCCGGCCCGGGGGTCGCACCCGCGAACCCACCCCCCCCTTGCTCGGTGGAAGCCAGGGAGGGCAGCTGCGTGAGAGGAGGAGGAGAAGAAGAGGAGGAGGAGGAGGGAGAGCAGGAGGAGGAGGAGTGTGCGCGTAGAGGGAGGCGGGGGGGGAAGGAAACCCTCATGGAAGTATGAAGGAGATGGTGGGAGGCTGCTGTGTCTGTTCTGATGAGCGGGGCTGGGCGGAGAACCCGCTGGTGTACTGCGACGGGCACGGCTGCAATGTGGGGCGGCTGCACCCAAAGGTAAGCGCCGGGCACCCGCACCCCCCCGCCCCGCGCCCCCGAAACCCCCCGGGCCACCGCACCGACACCCCCCTTCCCTCCCAAAACACCGGGGCACCCCGGCAGGCCGGATGGAGGGGGGCTGCGCGGGGCAGACATGTGTTGTGTGTGTGTGCGGGGGGGAGCTTTGTTTTAAGGGCCCTATTGTTCCGAATAAACGGTGTCGCGCCGGGGGCGGGAGCCGCGCGGGATCCGAAGGGGGCAGCGGCCGGGGCTCGGGGGCAGCGCGGGTGAGCCCCCGAGCGGGGCCAGCGCACACCTCCGGGCTTCGGGGGGTCGTTACCGGGGCGGGGGAGAGTTTCCCGCGGCTCTTTCCCCCTGCCCGACCCCCCCCGAGGTTTTTTTTTGGGGGGGGGATGGCGTGGGCAGCGCCGCTTGATGTCCCCCTCGGGTCCGGGGCCGTTCGGGGGATGGGCCCCGGGGTAAACCGCGGGGGTGGCGGCGGGCCCGGAGCTGCTCCTGCAAGGGCAGGGAGGGAGGGAGAGAGGAAGGCAGCCGTCCTCCTCCTCCTCCTCCTCGCAGCGCGACACGGGCTATTTTGCATTTTAAATGACTCCAGCACGCCCCTAACACACGGTATCGGGCCGGAAAGTTTGTCCTCGGGTGTCTGAACAAAAAAAATACGAATTAAAATAGGTATTTGCGTTCCGTTCCAAGCCGGCAGAAAGGCGCGGTGATTATCTTGCTTGGTTTGTTTGGAATAACACGAAGGTTTCTGGGCTCATCTGGCCTGTCTGTTTTCCCATCTATTATTATCCCATCCATCTACCAGCACATCTCCAGCCTCTTCCTGCACACTCTCCAGCCATTCCCGATGCTCGCTCCTGGTTCTTCCGGCTGCCCGTGGGTCCTGCTCTGTCCCTGTCCCCGGGTCCTGCTCTGTCCCCGGGTCCTGCTCTGTCCCTGTCCCACTGGTTCCTGCTCTGTCCCTGTCCCTGGTCCTGCTCTGTGCCCGGGGCCTGCTCTGCCCCTTGCCTTGGGTTCCTGCTCTGTCCCCGGGTCCTGCTCTGTCCCTGTCCCTGTGTCCTGCTCTGTCCCTGTGTCCTGCTCTGTCCCTGTCCCTGGGTCCTGCTCTGTCCCTGTCCCCGGGTCCTGCTCTATCCCTGTCCCTGTGTCCTGCTCTGTCCCCGGGTCCTGCTCTGCCCCTTCCTTGGATCCTTCTCTGTCCCTATCCCTGGATCCTTCCCTGTCCCTCTCCCTGGGTCCTTCTCTGTCCCTGTCCCTGGATCCTTCTCTGTCCCTATCCCTGGATCCTTCTCTATCCCTGTCCCTGGGTCCTGCTCTTCCCTTCCCACTGTCAGTGCAGGGGCTGGAGCAGGACCTTGGGCTTCCTTTTGCTCCCCCTGTTTTTGGTGTGTCCCTGCTCAGGGCTGCAGCCAGAAGTCACAACCAGGTGACTAAAGGGGAGGTAAATGAGGCAGTGAAGCTCACAGGGGGTTCTCTTCACCCAGAGGTGACTCTTGGGTGTCTGTTGTCATGGAATCCCAGGATGGTTTGGGCTGGGAGGGACCTTAAAGCTCATCCAGTGCCATGGGCAGGGACACCTTCCACTAGCCCAGGTTGCTCCAAACCCCATCCAACCCAGCCTTGGACACTTCCAGGGATCCAGGGGCAGCCCCAGCTTCTCTGGGCAACCTGTGCCAGGGCCTCCCTATGCACAAATTCCTTCCCAATATCTGCTCAAAATCTCCCCTCTTTCCATTTAAAGTCCTGGGGGTGCCTCCCAGTGACCCGACAGGACAAGGGGCTCTCCAAAAGGACATTTATTTTCATTTTGCTGATGTAATTCTTCCCTTCTTCCCCTAACTCATCAAACCCTATGCTAGAGAACGGGTTTCTCCACCCCTCTCTTTTTTTGGGGGGGGGAAAAGGGAGATGAAGGGCTTTGGCATCCTTATGCCCATTCCCAAAAACATAAACACCTGTGTGTGCTGGCAGGAACAGTTCCCAAGGGGCAGGAACAGCTTCAGAGATGCAAGAACAGTTTCAGAGGGGCAGGAACAGTTTTAAACATCCAGAACAGTTTTAGGGGAACAGGAAGAGTTGGAAATATCCAAGAACAGTTTCAGGGGAGCAGGAAGAGTTTTAAATATCCAAGAAGAGTTTCAGGGGAATGGGAAGAGTTGGAAATATCCAAGAACAGTTTCAGGGGAGCAGGAACAGCTTTAAATATCCAAGAAGAGTTTCAGGGGAGCAGGAAGAATTGGAAATATCCAAGAACAGTTTTAGGGGAACAGGAAGAGTTGGAAATATCCAAGAAGAGTTTTAGGGGAATGGGAAGAGTTGGAAATATCCAAGAACAGTTTGAGGGGAGCAGGAAGAGTTGGAAATATCCAAGAAGAGTTTCAGAGGGGCAGGAACAGTTTTAAATATCCAAGAAGAGTTTCAGGGGAGCAGGAAGAGTTGGAAATATCCAAGAAGAGTTTTAGGGGAACGGGAAGAGTTGGAAATATCCAAGAAGAGTTTTAGGGGAACGGGAAGAGTTGGAAATATCCAAGAACAGTTTCAGGGGAGCAGGAAGAGTTGGAAATATCCAAGAAGAGTTTCAGAGGGGCAGGAATAGTCTCAGAGAGACTGTTGTGTGTAGTCAGTGCACAGTTTGTGCTGAGTTTGTGTGTGTAGGAAGCACAACAGTCTATTTAGGTCTGGTAAGAGTCTTTCAGGATGTAATAATTCATAAGAGTGGAGCAGTGTGTGATGGATGTTCTCAACCCTCTTTCTGAGCCTGCTCAGCCCCTGGCAGTGGTGTGGTGTGTTTTTGGTAGGCTTTTTATTTCTTAAATAGAAACAAACCACTGCAAGGAATCCTCTGGCTCGTGTGGTGTCATTCCGTGCCATCACACACGGGTTTGGTGTCTCTTTGTGCTGCCTGAATATCCACAAAAACCAGAGTTGCCTTTTGAAATGATTGTGCAGCTCAAGAAAGAACCCTGTAGTTTTTTTTTTTTTAAAAACCAAACCTGTAGCTACATATTAGGGCTTAGGTTCTTAAAGATATCAGCCCCCCTTTCTGTGCTGGTGCTTAAAGATCTTTCCAGGGAAAAAATTCAAAATGTGAAGATGGGAAATGGAGACTTGAATAAGGTAGTGAGAAACGTTTTTAAATTGCATTTTCGACTCGTGTTCTGCATTTTTTTCCCCCCCTCCTTGTTTTCTTCCTCTTCGAAGCAGAATCTTTCCAGTTTAAAAAAAAAAAAGAAAAAAATTATAAAAAAGGCAGAACATGCAGAACATGAACAAAACCATCTGATGGGAAATGGAGGCTCTAACAGGCCGGTGAAGAACACTTACAAATCGTATTTTTCAGCTCGTGTTCTGCATTTTTTTCCCCCCTTGTTTTCTTCCTTGTTTTCTCCCCCCTTTGAAGCAGCGGGCACAGAAGCTCGTGCTGGCTCCAGCTGAGTGCTTGTTTTTTGGCCCTGAGCCACTGCTAAAGATGGACCCAAGCAGGCTCCTCTGGCAGGGCTTTCATGTCCTTTCCATTTCCCTGGGCCTTGGCAGCTCCTTCCATTGAGATTCCATTTGTTTTCCTCCCCCCCCCAGGGCTGATGTGGGATAATGGACATTAGGGAGGTGGAGGGAACCTGCTGGGGCTGCCCCTGGGGATCATCCAGGCACTGCCTCCGGCAGGGGAGTTGCAGATGCTTTGCCCAACCCAGTTTCAAGTGTCTAGAAGGACTGGGATTCCCTTCCAACCACCAGCTTGTGCTTGAAGGAATAAGGAAGGGGCGATTTGTTCTTTGCTTGGGAGGTGGAGTAAAGGAGGGATAATTTGTTCCTCCCTCCCTGGGAGACTCCCAGACCCTCCCCTGAGAGGCACAGCTTCGATCCTTGCACTGCCTTTGTGGCTTTAAACCCACCTGTGTGGTGGCCAAAAGCCCTTTTAGGGTCAGAAATGCTTCTTTTGGGACTCACAATGACCATTCTTGGATGCTTAGAGGGGGAATGTCACCGAGGAAGGTGGAAAGCCTTCAAGCAGCAGAGATGGGAGCTGGTTTTAAAGCTGCAGAGAGGGACCCTGAGAGCACCAGGAGTGATGTAGGAAGCCAGAGGGGCTGGATAAGGCTGGATAAACCCAGCAGTTCTGTTGGGATATCACCTGGAGAGTTGTGTTCACACAGAACCTGTTCCCAGCAGGAGCTGTAGGGAACCTGAAGCTGGACTTGATGCTCCTTGTGGGTCCTTTCCAGCTCAGGTTATTCCATGATTCTGGGAATTCCCTGGTCCTGGAAGCTGCTGGAGGTGATGTGCAGGTGGAGGGCGTGCAGGGTAAATGGGAATTCGGGTTGGTGTCCCTCTGAATTCCCATTGGGATGATTCCCCTCGTGACACTGAGATTTTTATCTTAGTCCTGATTGTGCTTTGGGTGCTTCCTGTCATCCATGTCACCAGTTTAATGCCTGGATCACTGGAAATGGCACTTGAAAAGTTAAAAAGTAAAAAAAATTACATTTGTGTTCCCTGGGCCAGAATTAAGCACAGCTTCTGATTTGCTCCATTCCCATCTAGGCCAGATTTTCATGGGAGCTTTTCCTACTGGAGCATGGGCTTGAAAACTTGAATGAATGTGTCACACTGGACCTCCTGGAAAAAGCTGAACGGGGTTGGAAACTGGAAATGGGAGTAAAATATGTATTGCACACGTAATTTTTGAGCAGTAACAGCTCTCACAGACATGGAATCACAGAATGGTTTGGGTTGGAAGGGACCTTAAAGCTCGTCCAGTTCCACCATGAACAAACCACCTTCCACTGGAGGAGGTTTCTCCAAGCCCTGCAAACTTTTATACACACCCAAGAAATGAAACAGTCGATTTAAAGATGGTTCTAATGAAGTCTTTTTTTTTTGCTTTTTTCCCCTCAGCTTGTTATGGAATTGTCCAGGTCCCCACCGGCCCCTGGTTCTGTCGGAAATGTGAATCCCAGGAAAGAGCCGCCCGGGTGGTGAGTTCAGTCGAGCCTGGAGACCTCAATCTTCCAAAAAAAAAAAACCTCATGGCATTCTTCTCAAAGGGGCTTTTTTTTCTGCTCAGCTCCTCGGGAAGCTTTGGGGAGGAGGGAGGTTGGCATCACCTGAGATTGGTGTGCTGGCAGAGCGTGCTGGGTCGGCTTTCACATCTCACTCACAGGTTTGGGTTGGAGGGCACCTTTAAAGCCCCTCCAGTGCCCTTTGGGATCATCAGCAGGTGATGATCATCCCCCTGCAGCACAGAAAGTCTCCTGAGCTGTAAAAGAGCAGAGAGAAAGATGACAGGAAGAGGGGCTGTTTGTGTCTGGGTAGCAGTTTAAGAGCAAAAAGCCCTTTCCAAATGTTCCTCATTAATTCCGGCATTTCCCGGTGAGGCAGGAGGGTGGGAGCAATCAGGCCAGGCCTGGGCTGTGTGGCCAAGTTATTTGTGCAGTAAACAAGGCTGGGGGGGGTTTATGGCACAGCAGCTTCTCTGCCAGAGCTCCCCACGTGAGCCCTTATCAGATTGAGCGGCACCAACCAGCTGCTGAGGCTCTGGAACGGGGCACTCGTGCCAGGGATGCTGCTTTTCCTGCCCCAAATCATGGCAGGGGTTGGCTTGGAGGGGATTTCAAGCTCACCCAGAGGCAGGGATGCCACTCACTGCCCCAGGTTGCTCCGAGCCCCGTCCAAGCCGGCCTTGGACACTTCCAACCACAGCCCCCAAAATGTGGGATAAATCTGGGAGAGCTTCTCCCCTTCCCTTCCTGGAAGGTGGCTTTGAATTAAACTTTGGCTTCCCTTCGGCACAGCCAGCACAAGCAGGGTTTGTTGATGGCAGTGCTGAGCTGGTTGAGCTGAGTTTGGGGTGCACACCTGGGAAGGGGCCGGGGGTGACCTCGGATCCCTCTCGGGATCCCTCTCGGGATCCCTGGATCCGCCCGAGCCGGAGCTCCCAGCCCGCTCCAGCCCAGCTGGGCTCTGCCTGCTGCACTCCAAAAGTCTAATCTGGTTCACAGATGGGCAAAGAACTTGGCAGGGATGAGTGGAGGGGGGAATTAGGGATCCACAGCCACGCTTCCCACACGGCATTAACCCTTTCCTGGCTGCAGGCAGGGCCGGGCCCTCGGCCCTTTGCCCGCCCTGAGCTGCTGCTTTTATGTGCTCTGCAGTGAAGATTAAATGTGTCTGTGAGTGCTTTTACATCCTGCAGGTACTTCCATGGCAGGAATTTGGGTCTCGTGGGCCTCCTTGCCCCGTGCACAGGGAAGTTCTTCAGCTTTCCACCTCGGTGTAAAGTCCTCGGGCACACGAGTCCTCCTCACCTGTGCTCCTTGTGACTTCTTTTTCCTCTCCCCGTAACTTTATGCACCTCAAACTGCCTCCAGGGCGTCAGGAAAACAACATCCCTGTGGGTGGCTCCTGATTTTAACCCCCCCTGGGTGGGTTAAATCTGTTGGGCAGCCCGTGGTGGGTGTCAGAGCTGCCCTTCAGCCCCGTGGTGTTCAGCCCTAAGAACTGAGCAAGGGATAATCTTCCTCCCCGGGCAGGGCTGGGGGGGTGGTTTCCTATCTAAATCCCTCACCTTTTCAGCTCAGCACCAGCAGTCATAGCAACAGACAGGCAGATGGGGAAACACTTAAAAAGAACGGGGCTCTTTGATGTAGGAGCAGCGTGAGCAGAGTGAGGGGAATGGCTCGGGTTGTGTGAGGTCTGTGAGTGGCTCTGCTGCTGGAAACAGGAGCTCTGGGGCTGGGAGAGTTGGGGCTGTCCAGCCCTGGGAAGAGGAGGTTGTGTGGAGACCTCACAGCACCTTCCAAAGGATCCAAAGGGAATCTGAACGGCGAAGTGTCTGAGGAAGCACCTGGAGAAGGAAACCAGAGAGGGACTTTGGTCAGGAACTGGAGTGACAGGACAAGGGGGAGTGGGATCAAACTGAAAGAGGGGAAGTTTAGGTGAGATATATGGAAGAAATTCCTCCCTGGGAGCCAGGTGGGGAGGCCCTGGCACAGGTTGCCCAGAGAAGCTGGGGCTGCCCCTGGATCCCTGGAAGTGTCCAAGGACAGGTTGGACAGGGCTTGGAGCAACCTGGGAGAGTGGAAAGTGTCCCTGCCCATGGCAGGGGGTGGCACTGGGTGGGCTTTAAGGTCTCTCTCTGTGATTCTAAAACACATCTGATTTGTTCTCTGTGCAGGGGGTGACCCTTCCCCTGCCCTGGGGTTTCCCTGCTCCTCCCTACCCGGTTTCCTCCAGCTCTCCAAAGGCACTCTGGGCCTGCAGACACTGCCCCGAGGACTCTGAGGCAGAGACGCTGCTCTTTGAGCACAAACCACACAAAACCAGCAGCAGGATGAGCTGATGTTTGTATTTCTTTCATAATGACTGTGTGGCCGACTCCTGTGAAAAACAACAGTGTTTTTCTTCGCACATCTGCCTTCATAGAAGGTTCTTAAGGCAGCTCACGGGCTCTGGCCATAACAAATGCTAATTTCCTTGGCTAAATATTGATAGTTTTGCTTTCAGAATGAGATACGGAGGCAGGGAGGGTGTTGCAGTGCTTAGCGTGTGCTTTAAAACACAGTTTTGATTTCTGCACCGTTCATTTCCGTGTCTCATTCATATTCCCTTCAAAAGATGGGCTCCATCCCCTTTTTAGCCCCGGGAAGAGACCTCGGGAGCCCTGAACTTCCAGGCAGGGCTTTCACTTGGTAGATCCCAGACAAGCCCCGGGGGGATCAGGAGCTTTAAAACCTTCCCCGTCTCAACCTGCTTTAAATCAACCCAGAGAGCTGAACTAAAACCCCCCGTGCCCGCGCAGGTGGGATAAGAGGCAGAGGTGCCCTAATCCCTGCTCCGGGTCCCTAAAGGATGCTCTGGATGCTGGGAAGGGCTGGAAAGCCCAGCCCCATCCACTTTGTAATCCAATCGTCTGGGAAGCCCCGGGAGCCGGGATGGCCGGAGGGCTCTGGTGTGAGGATCATGTGAAGGGCTTTAGCTGTCATTTCGAGGCAGGGCTGTTAAAAGTCCTGTGTGGGGCCGATGGAGCTGTTAACCCCTCTTGTTACAATCAGAGCTGCGCTAATCGCGTGGTGGGAGAGCGGCTTTGATCTGAGGGCGGAGGGGCCTTTTCAAGTGCAAATTTCTTATTACAGTGTCTCGGGTAACTCCCTTCTTGTTCTCTCCCGGCTCTGCCGGGCTTTCCATAGTAATTGTGGGAGCCCGGACCTAACCAGCGAGAAGCATCTCCTGTGGCCGTGTCTCTCCGTCCTGAACTCGCTGAGTTGCAGGGGAAAGGGAGATGGATTTTGTCCCCTCCTCTCTTATTTAACACTTGCACATCCCTGGAAGTGTCCAAGGCCAGGTTGGATGGGGCTTGGAGCATCCTGGGCTAGTGGAAGGTGTCCCTGCCCATGGCAGGGGGTGGCACTGGGTGGGCTTTAAGGTCCCTTCCAGCCCAAACCACCCCACGATTCCATGACTCAGTAAACTGGTGGGTTTTGGCACGTGGATCCCCTGCCCTGTCACGCTCACTGCACCAAAGCAACGACAGCAGAGAGCACCAGGTCCAACATCTCACTCTTGACACCAGACACCTCATTTCAAAACTTTCTGAGGAAGCACATTTTTCACGGAAAAGCAGTTTCTGTTTTGCTTTGGTGTTTCAGCAAGTCAGACCTTTCTGTCGGGGAAGGGAGAGGTTTAAACCCCCAGGTTTTTGGGGCCTTTCTTAAAGTCAAAGAAGGCAGAAAGCAGGTGGAGATTTTCCCTGAGTGATGCTGTGAGAAGACAGTGTCTGTTTTTGGAGGCAGCTCAGCCTGGGAGGAGCTCTCAGGGCTGGGCAGTGTGTTCACCCAAGTGTGAAAAAACACCCCAAAATTACCCTCACGCCCTCCCCTCCACACCTCAGCCTTTTGGAGGGGGGTGTCACAGGGTACCCTCCCCCCAGTCCTTCAAAAATGCCATGATGGCCTCACCCACCTGTCATGGGACTGGAAAAAAAACCACCACCAGAGAAAAGGAGAGGAGGAAGGAAGGAAAGGGGCAAAGATAGACGGTGGCTTCTCTTTATTTGCCTTCTGCTCTCTGAGTCACGACTTTCAGTTTTGCTCCCCGACCGCAGAGCCTCAAGCTCGTTCTAAAAAAGCCCCCGTGGAGTCAAGGTTCACTTTGGGCCTGGGCTGAGGCTTTAAATACCTCAGTCAGGGCGACATTGAGCTGTGTCAGGGCACCTCTTTGCACCCAAACCACGCTCAGCCCTTCTCCCACTTCCCTTCTTTGAAAGCCTCGGCGTTCCCGAGCGGGCTGGGAGTGAATCATCTCTTTTCTGCCCCCCTCTGCCCCTCAGAGTTGGGGTTAATCTGTTGTTTCTGCTTCCTTTCAAGAGGTGTGAGCTGTGCCCCCACAAAGATGGAGCCCTGAAACGCACGGACAACGGGGGTGAGTAGCTGGGATGGGTGGAAAACCAGGCCCTGGGGAGGGAAGGCTGGAGGCTCCAGAGGGATGAAACTCTGCCTTTTCCTTGTAAACTTCGCTTCCTGAAGCTTCTCCGTGGGGAGAAGACCTTTCCCTGGAGGGGGGGACCTGCCTGACCTGGGGCTGGCTCTGAAACACAGCCCTGAAATGTGCGATTTTGGGGGTTTAACCTCCCAGGAGTCGTTTCACAGTGGGTGGTGTGGAAGTTGCTGAGTTATTTGCACGGTGATCCCCGAGTTCTCAGAGCCTCAGCACCGAGTCCCCATCCCAGGGTGCAGGAAAGGTGTTTTTCCATGCAGGATTTCCCTGCTCATGGTTGGAGCTTCTCATCCTCAGGTGCTGGAAGTCCTGTTCTGATGGTCAGAGCCTGTGGCTCTCGGTGCTCCTGGCTGTGGAATCAAACCTCATTGTTCCCAAAACCTTATTTTTTGGGAAGGCCTCTGCACCTGCCTGCTCTTAAAGAGTGAAATTAGGCAAGGAGGCCTTTGTCCTGATAAATCCCATATTTGGAGAGTGCTGAGTCCACAATATTTTGTGGAACCATCTTCTGGAGCTGGTTACAAATGCCAAGAGCCTTTGATGCAACACAAACATTGTGTTGGGGGATTGTTTTATAATATTTATAATAATGTAACATCTTCCTGATGTGTTATGACATGGTGTGGCCAGGTCTGTCACAGACAGGCCCAAGGGCTGTTTCAGCCATGTCACTGTTGAGTTGTGCAGCCCAAGGACTGGCAGTGCTGGATGATCCCATAATCCTGGAGTTTGCTTCCCCCTGCCCAGGTGAATCCATCCTAATTCTCACTAAATCCTCCCAGTGCAGAACCCACACTGGTTTGGATCAGCCCCCCAAACACTCCTGCCCTTCAAACCCTCTCCTTCCTGCCCTGGCCAGATGGAATTTCAGCTTCCAAGTGTGATTTTGGTGGATTTAGATTCTGATCTAACCGGGCTTGCTGAAAAGCTGCCTCCTCTCCCCGTTGATAAGAGCCCATAAAGGGAGCTTTGTTCCCAGGGGCACGTCCAACCTGTCCCTTCGGCATCATTTACTGCCTGGATGCTTTCCCTGGGCTGGGTTTTGTCTGCCCAACCTGTCCCCTCAGCATCATTTACTGCCTGGATGCTTTCCCTGGGCTGGGTTTTGGCCCTCAAGTCCTCAGGGGGTGCTTTTAAGAACCACCAGTGCTGCACTTGTCTTTTCCCCCAGAAATCTCTGCTTGCTCAGTTAATCTGCAGGTGGTATCTCTCTGTTAGGATTTGATTCCTAACCAAGTTCCAACAAGCACATTTCAACTCTTAACATCTCCCTTAGGCTGGCTGCAATCCTACACTACCTTTCCTACCTGTTTGGGTTGGAGGCTCTTTTTGGGGTGCCCTGTGTGACCCTCTGGTGTCCCCTTTGCCCCCCCAGGCTGGGCCCACGTGGTGTGTGCCCTGTACATCCCAGAGGTGCAGTTTGCCAACGTGCTCACCATGGAGCCCATCGTCCTGCAGTACGTCCCCCACGACCGCTTCAACAAGGTGAGACCCTCCCTCCCCACCCTGGCTTTTTTGGGGGGCTCAGCTCGTCCCCCCACGGCTCCTGGCTGGGTTGGTTTAGTTCCCAGGAGCTCAGAGCCCTTTTGGAAACACCTGGCAAAGTGAATCCCTGTGTTTGCAAGCGACCTGTTGGTCCTCTGTGTCTCTCTTCCCCGAATCCCTGCGGCCCGAGGAGTCTCTTGGTTGAGCCGTGGGGTTGTGTGGTGGTTCCTCCACATTTTGATTGGACACAGTTGGGTTTTTTGGGGCAAAAAGGAAGAGATTTTGTGTGTTTTACTGAGAAATAATGCAGAGGAGACAGCCTGCCCCAGTGGGAGGTGTCCCTGCCCATGGCAGAGGACAGAGGTGACCGTGAAGGTCCCTCCTGACCCAAACCACGAGTCCATGAGATGTCTGGATGCAGAGTTATGGGTTCCTGAAAGCTTTGTCTCCTGTTGAACAGCACTTTTCCTATTTTTTTCTTTTTTTTCCCCCAGACCTGCTACATCTGTGAGGAGCAGGGCAGGGAGAGCAAAGCTGCCTCTGGAGCCTGCATGGCCTGCAACCGGCACGGCTGCCGGCAGGCATTCCATGTCACCTGGTGAGTCCCCTCAGGCATTCCATGTCACCTGGTGAGTCCTCAGGCATTCCATGTCACCTGGTGAGTCCCCTCAGGCATTCCATGTCACCTGGTGAGTACCCTCAGGCATTCCATGTCACCTGGTGAGTCCCCAAGCATTCCATGTCACCTGGTGAGTCCTCAGGCATTCCATGTCACCTGGTGAATCCCCTCAAACATTCCATGTCACCTGGTGAGTCCCCTCAGGCATTCCATGTCACCTGGTGAATCCCCTCAAACATTCCATGTCACCTGGTGAGTCCTCAGGCATTCCATGTCACCTGGTGAGTCCCCAAACATTCCATGTCACCTGGTGAGTCCCCAAACATTCCATGTCACCTGGTGAGTCCCCTTGGGACCCCCTCCTGCTTTGGCTGCTCTGTCTGAGGCCACCCTCCCTGGGTGCTGTGGGGACTCGGGTTCCTCCCCTGGGCTCACTTTGGGCCAGAGCTTTCTCCTCCTTGCTCAGCTGGGGAGGGGAAGTTCTGAGGCTTCTCCAGGGAGCTTTCCCTGCTCAGAGCAAGGTTGGGGATTTCCCTCAGGCTCTGTGGAATCCAAGAAGGGAAGGGATGAGTCACGAGCCAGGAATGTTCCTTTCCCAGCAGAGCACATGCAGGAGGATCCTGTCGTGTGATTTTAAAGATTTTAAAGGTGTGATTTGAAAGGTTGATACCCTCGAGTACCCTCAGAGCCTGAAAACAACATTCCCCATCAGCAGGATGGGGGGATTCCCTGCTTTACATGGATTCTTGGCTCCTAGGATACCTTTGTTGGAATTATTACCCATCTCCCAGGCCTCCCTCCAGAAAAAAACAAACCCTGCAAGAGAAACTGGGAGAAAAATATTGACAGTTTCAAAGATCTCGGCATGAATTAAAACAGGCCCCACCCTGGCCAAGCAGAACAGGGAACTTCCAGACCCTGCCCTGGGTATCCTGAATTATTCTTTGCCCTTTTTGGTGGTGTTGGCTGTCCCAGTTCTCTTTATCCTCCTGCTGACTGCCTGTGTTTCAGTGCACAGATGGCTGGGCTCCTGTGTGAAGAAGAAGTCCTAGAAGTCGACAATGTCAAATACTGTGGCTACTGCAAGTACCACTTCAATAAAATGGTGAGTTTTTCTTCCTCTCTGCCATGGAATTTCATTTTTTTTTTTGTCATATAAAAGGCATTGGCTCCATCTTTTAGGTTGGGTCTGTGCTCAGAGCAGTGAGACATGCCAGGAAAACACAAGCAAGGCTGCAGCCAGCTTCCCCTTTCAGCCATTCACTCTGAGTTACTCCATAATTGAGATTAATTAGCAGTTTTGCCTTTCTGTAGCATCTTTAAAGGCGTTTTCCAAACTAGGGGTTGAATTATTTGAGTTTTTCCCCTCAGTTTTGGCTTCCCTGACCTGCTCTGTGCCCCGGGGAAGCAGAGCAGCCGTGAGGTTTGATGCTCCAGGGCTTTGATGCTCCAGGGAATCAGGGGTATGGCTCAGGCACCCTCAGCATGAGGGCAACACAGAACAGCCAGAGCTTCTCCCTCAGGACAGAGCCAGCCCAGAAGGATGTGGGGTCACTCGGATTTTGAGGGATATTTAGGGCAAAGGATTTCTCCCGTTAATTACAGCGTGAGAGGGAAGAGAGGAACCCTTCTCCTGTTCTGCATGATGAGCAGACACCTTCTGTCCCCCCTCCAGCTGAAAGGAACCTTCATCCTCTCCCTGCAGCTCCATCCCAGAGGCTCCTTTGCCACTGGCCTTTCCCACTTCCCTTCCTGCTTGTCAGCACTGTCACACCCAGTGAGGGATGTCCCTCAAATCCACCTGGAGGGCACCTCTCCTGCCCCTGGGTACCCGTGTCTGGCCCAAGTGTGGCTCTGTGTGGGGTTTCCAGCCAGCAGGACCTGGGGGGGGGTTCCTGGGGTTGGCAAACAGGGAGTCAGTCCTTCCTTCCCCAGGGGTTCCTGGGGTTGGCAAACAGGGATTGAGTCCTTCCTTCCCCAGGGATTCCTGGGGTTGGCAAACAGGGAGTCAGTCCTTCCTTCCCCAGGGGTTCCTGGGGTTGGCAAACAGGGATTGAGTCCTTCCTTCCCCAGGGGTTCCAGCTCAGGACTGAGAGTTCAGGAATAACAACACTGCTGCTGCCACTTCCCTGGATAACAGGGTGGGTTCTTGGAAGCTGGGCCTTCCTTGGACAAGTGTCCTTGGGCCACCAGGAGCTGAGGATTGGGAGAGTTGGATCTCTGTGCTGTTTATATCCATGGAATCCCGGAGTCAGGAATCAGGCTGGGTTTGCCCCGGCATGGGGGGGACAGACCATTTACTGTAACTTTGCTGATTGAAACAGTGAAACCTGGGCTGGATAACACTCTTTCCTCTCTCTTTTTTCCCCCCTCCACCTGCTGTCCTGGCCCACTTCCCTCAGAAGACCTCAAGGCACTCTGGAAGCAGCTCCTTCATCGCTGGGAGGAGGAGTCGCTCCACGTCCCCCACCCAGGAGAAACACGTGTCCCACCACGACAGGCCAAAGAAGGTAAGATCCACGTGGGATCTGCTGGTCCAGGGAGCCACAGCCACGAGGGGAACAAGGTGGAAGAGTGGTTTGAAACACAGCAGCTCGAGAACCGGAGGTCGTTGTCCTCAGATCCCCCAGTCTTAAGTTTTAAAGGACAAAAAAAATGCTGATTAGTGCCCAGCAGGTTAACTGCAGGCAAGAACAATAATTAGTGTAAACTAGGGAGTGTTTTGTTAGTCAGATTAACCAGCCACAGGGTTCTGGTCTGCCTGTGAAAATTAAGTTTATCTCCATTAAGCAATTATTTGGAGGAACACCGAGTGCCAGGTCTGGCTGGGGCGAGAGCTGTTTAACTCTGCTGGTTAAGGTGTGCTCCTCAAAACTGCTGCAGGGTTACAGGGCACGTTAACAGCACACCAAGGTTCATCATTAACCAACTGGCTCACGTGACAAACGCTCACATTTCAAGGAAAAGCAGCAGGGAATGTGTGAGGCAGAGCCCCGGCAGGTTCTGACAGGGGGCTGTGCCAGAAGAGATGAGGAGGCCAGAGGCTCCTGTGTGGTTGTTATTTATAACAACAAATAGCCCCAAAAGGCAGGACATGTTTTTTTGAGGATTCAGGTTCTAAGGCAGGTGGCAGCAGAATAAAGAATCTTTCCTGCCCCTTGATGGGCACGAATTTTGCAATGTGAAAAACCCACCACACCGTGGATCTAACCCTCCCTTCCTTCAGCTCGAGGCCATTCCCTCTTGTCCTGTCACTCCATGCTGTTGTCCAGAGTTCCTTTAGCTGCTGGAAGGTGCTATAAGCTCTCCCCAGAGCTTTCTCTTTTACCAGACAACCCCTGGTTATGTTCTACTCCAGTCAAAAGCCACATTTCCCTTGCACAAACACAGCTGGTGACGTCCCTGCAAGTCCCAGCAGGAATCTTTTCACTCTGCCTGTTTGCTCCCTTTGGTTTGTTTTTGTCCTGTTGCACTGGGCATCCACAGCATGTAAATCATCTGGAGTGGGAGTGACAGTGACCCACATCCCAAAAGCAGCTCCACAGCTCTCTGGTGGGTTATGTGGTCTAGGCCTGATGGATCTCAGCCCAATCTCCAGAGGCCGAGGGCATCCAGGCTTTCCAAAGGCAGTGTGGCCATCACTTAATGTGACTGACACTGCCCAGCTGAGAGCCCATAAATCCTGTGGGCAGGAAAGACAGCTCTGCCTTTATTTACAGAGGTTATCCCACAACATCCAGCTTGAAACGCTGCCCACCCCGGCCAGGAGGAGCTGGGAGAGCTGCCCAAGCCCTACCTGATGCTTGGGCAAACAAGGAAACCTCAATCCCAAAGAGTCAGGAAATATCCTGCCCACGAGGGCACGGGGAGTGTTTGCTCCTCTTGTGTGTTCAGCTGCTGGCAGAGGAGGAGGAGGAGGAGGGAGGGAGGGAGGGAGGAAGAGCATCTGTGCCAGGGTCAGGGAACGCTTGGCACAAGGTGCTGGGCTGTACTGGAACGTGCTATTTTTATCCAGCAAGCCAAGGGGGGAGGAGGAGGGAGGGGGGAAAGGGCAGGATCAGGGTGATTGATGGGGGTTTGGAAGGCTCAGCTGGAATTATCACCGACAGAGCCAGGGCTGGGGCTGCTCCGGGGCTGCTGTGTTTGCACAGTCACGTGCCTGGCAGGTAGAGCGGGGGCTGCTCCCAGATTTGCTTGGAAAAGCAGGTCAGCGCCAGGGGGAGAGCGAAAACAGGAGGAATTGGGGGTTATTTATAGGCTCCCAGAGGCTCCTGCCACGATGTTAGCTCGGGTTCCTCCCAGAATGTGCGGACTTCCGTCTGTCTCCGCTGCTGCCTCCCCGTCTCCCCTGCCCGAGGATTTTTTGGAGGCAGCAGATCCCGTGGAGGCCCCTTCCAGGGCTGGGATTGCTTGGCACGAGTGCAAAAATCAGCTCCTTCCACCCGGGGAGGGGGAGTGGGCACGGGCAGGGGCCGAGGGAGTGGGCAGGGGGAGGAAGGCGCTCGCAGCTTCCAGGGGTGTCCGGGGGGTTTACGGGTCTGGGAGAAGTTTTGGAGTGCAGGAGGAAGGTCTAGGAGTGTGCAGGAGGAAGGTCTGGGAGTGTGGCAGCGTGGGGACAGACCTTTGGGAGGGTACCCAGAGCAGAGCCAGCCCTTCCCAGCTGGGCTGGGAGTACGTGACCAGCCGTGCATGATCTAATTGCACGTGTTCCCCTGGAACTGGGAGTGCTCCTGGAGCACAGCAGCTTTTCCTTGAGCCTGTCCAGCTGTGCAGCTGCCTGGGCACGTCCTGCTGGAGCTGGAGGCGATGCCAGGAGCTGGTCACTCCTCGGTGAGCAGAGCACAGTGGGTGCAGCCTCACCTGGGCTGCAGGTGCTCCCTTTGCTCAGACTTTACCGAGGAAAACTCGGAGTTAATGACTGAGGAGGGGCTCAGCAGTTGGGATTTGGGCTCCTAAGCCCTGCTGTAATTCCAGGGTTTGTGAAGAGTCTTGTTCTCAGCAGAACAAGGGACAATTGTGACATGGGACTGCACGTCAGCCTCACATCCCCCCCCTCTTGCAGCATTTCCCAAACGTTTCCTTCTGTGCCGGCCTTAAAAATGGGAAAGCTGCAGCCTTTGGGTTTTCCTCAGGCCTTATTTTCTTTATTTCTTTGGGGCTGGTATTGCAGTGTGTGTGTGTCCTCTGTGGGAGCCTTTGCAGGGTTGGTTTGTTTTAAAAAAAGAAGGACTTAAAAAAAGAAGAGAAACAATAGCCAAATACCAGGGATGACGCACACGGGGCACGAATGGAGCACAGATGTTCTGTCACCTATTTTGTCTGCTTGAAAAAGCTGCCACAGGCCTTGGAAACGAAATTTGTCCCTCCAGGAGCAGGCAGGAGCACAGGCACTGCTGTGTTTTTTGGGCATGTCCCAATCCCAGTGTGTTTTTGGAGGGAGACACTCGTCCGGTGTTGTTCTTAGGGAACACCTGGAACCTGTAAGTAAAATCAATCAGCTTGTAATTGGGATAATGGAACGTTGCAGGGAGAGGAAAACTCCCTGTCCAGGAACACAGGAAAGAGGGAGGCACTTATGGAATCATGGAATGGTTTGGGTTGGAAAGGACCTTGAAGCCCACCCAGTGCCACCCCCTGCCATGGCCAGGGACACCTCCCACTATTCCATGTTGCTCCAAACCCTGTCCAACCTGTCCTTGGACACTTCCAGGGATCCAGGGGCAGCCCCAGCTTCTCTGGGCAACCTGTGCTGAAATCTAATCCCAGTGGGTCTCCGAGGGGCTGGTGACAGAGGTCGGCCCTGGAATTCTGTGTCCACACAGGCACAGAGGGCAAAGGGATGTTTTTTTTCCCAGTGGCTACTTGCATGGGTTTGTTGGGAGCACACAAAGCCTGGAGAGGGCTGGTTGTGTGTCCTGCTGGAAAACTCTCACACACTTGGAGGGTGTTTTAAGGCAAAGCCACAAAGCCCTTGGCACGGCCCCGGGTACAGTGAGGTCGCAGGGAGATCCCTCGTGTCCCTCCGTCCCGTGCTGCCTTCCTTCCTCCTCACTGCTGTTGCCGTGGCTGCAGCCAGGAGCCAGACCTCCTCCTCCTCCTCCTCCTCCTTCTCCTCCGGGTGTGGGAGTTCAGAGAGCCTGGGAAAGAGGGAGGGAGGGAGCAGAGCCCACTTGGCTCTTCCCAGCTCCCGGCTCTTCCCTCTCTCTCTCCTTCCCTCTGCCCAATCTCCTTTGAACGATCCAATTGCTGGTGTCCAGCAGATGAGAAGAGAGGGGGGCTCTGGGAAGGGGAGCCGGAGGTGGAGGAGCTCCTCCCGGGCCCTTTTTGGCAGCGGGAGCTCCCGTTTGGTCCCTCCTGCTCGGGGGAGCTCCAGAGGGGGGTTTTGTGCCGCCGTCACGCCCGATCGCGGCGGCCTCAGCGCTCCCCCGCCCCGGGGCTGCCCCGCTCCGTGCCCACATGCCAAGCCCCAGCTGCTCAATCCTGCACGGGGAGAGGTTGTTTTCCGTGAGGTTTGGTGCTGGGGGCAGGTTCCCCTTCCCTGCAGCCCGCAGCTCTTCCGCGGGGGACGCCGGGCAAGGTAGGGCTGGGCTGGGCTGGCAAAGGTGGGATGGGGGTGGTGAGAGGTTTCCTCTTCTCTCCTTCCTCCTCCTCCTCCCCTGATTCCTCCTTCAGGCAGGCCTGGCTCCTGCCTGTGGTTTATGTTGTCCATAAAGTCTCCTGGAAGTTTCCTGGCACCTCTGTGCCGGGGAGGCAAGGTGGGGACCAAAAGGGGACCAAAGTGCCGGTTCCCCCTCCTCGCCTTGCCCTCCCCTCTCGGCGGCTCCTGAAGGAAGCTTTTGGAGCTTTCTGGTTCCTGGAGGGGGAACCCACAGGTTTCAAAGCCCCTGGGCTGGGTGAGGGTCTGTCAGGTGTCCAGGAGGGATGAGCAGCCCAGCTCTCAGTGCCATGGTCATGACAGGCGCCGTCACCTTCCCACCAGCACCGTGGTCTGGGGGCAGCCCAACCCCACCCACGGGGTGACAGAATTGGCTGTCCTACCTGTTTGAACACAGGAGACTGCATTTCTCCAGGAATACTGAAGAATTCACCGGATCCTGTTGCCTTTTGAGCACCCAAAGGTGTCAGAGATGAACTGGAGGGGGGGACACGAGCGTGCAAAGGCAGTGGGGCACCCAGGCTGGGCAAAGCTCGAGCCCAGAGAGCTCCTGGGTGCCCAGTCCTGTGGGTTCTGAGCAGAAATGGCAGGGAGAGCCTGGAGAGGACGTGGTGTGGAAGGGGAGAGGTGCTTGGGAAGCCCGTGGAGGAGCAAGGTGTGCGTGGTGCTTCTGGTTCGGAGCAGCCCCTGGAGCAGAGCAGAGCTTGGGCTCTGGGGGACAGATTTGCCCAAACAGTTTGAGTGCAGTTGCTCAGCACGTGCAGTCGAGGCCAGAGCTTCAAAAGGGCTCAATCCCCAGCGTTTAGATCTTTTTTTCTTTTTTTTTTTTTTTTTTCTGAAAACCTGATCATTTATCGAAGGGTCTGAACGGGAGCTGAGGAGTCCCAGAAATCTGGGAGCTGAGGCATTCCAGAAATCTGGTCCCTGTTGTGCAGGCAGGGTTCCTGCAGGACACAGACAGATGTACCCACCCTCATACAGAGCCAGCTCTGTGCTGGCAGCAAAGGGAGCTTTTCCAGGCCAGCATTTTGAAGCTGGAGGGTGTGAGTTTGGTGGTGAAATCGGGGGGGGAAAAGGGGTTTATGCATCACTGTCGTGACAGGCAGGACATTCCTGCCTTCCCCCACACGTGGGTGGGTTCACTGTCGTCCCCCAGAGTGGTTTGGCTCTGCCTTGGCTCATCCTGCCCACGACATGTGGCATTAAATCACTCAGTGCCTCCTGCTCCCTCCTGTTGCAGCTTCCTCGTGGGAATCCATTTGGGATTCAGGGGGCTGAGAACGAGAGGATGAGCTCTGTGGTATTCAGGAAGTTTAAGGTCTGTGCAAGTTGCTTGGCAAGAGGTGCCATGATGAGGTGTCTGGCTCCTGGTTTCCATTCCTGCCTTCCCCGAGTGGCACTGGCAGCACCTGGGAAAGGTGGGAAATGTGTGTCCACCTGATCCCTGACTTTCCCTCTGAATTTATGGATGGCTTTCTGTGAAATCCTCTCGTCCTGCATGCCCTGTTTTCCCCATTTGTAAAACGAGATGGAGATATTAAAAACTGTTACTGTGACAGGAGCAGTGAACACTGGTGTGCACGTGGTCTGTGAGGAGCTGCTTAATGAGCTGGGCCACAGTTTTCCCATCTTCCTGTCCCAGAAAACCCAGGAGACTGGGAATTTATAGCACAAGAAGCCCCCAAGTATTTAAAACATTATGAGTTTTAGTAAAGATTTAATTTGAATTTGTCTTTCAGCAAGTTTAGTTGGCAGAAATCACATTTCCAAGCTTTCCTTCTTCACTGCCAAGGCTGGAAATGTGTATTAAAAAAAAGGGAGGGAGGGGGAGAAAATAGGGATTCTTATGAAATATTGTAGCTCTAGGAACAGAAGTTTTAACAGATATTGCAAATGCCAGGAGTTTTGTGATAAAATGATGGATATTGGCAGTGCTGTGAAGTTCTAGGCTGGGTTTGCCTCCTTTTTTTCACTGGTTCATCCTTGTGAAATCTTCCTTGGCATCGTGGCAGGATTATGGGCCTCCCTCCTGCTCAGAAATTCAGCCAGACCCACCCTGGGAGGTGCTGATTTCTGGAGCACTTTTGCTTCACTTCACACCTGCCTTCTCCAGCATTTTCCTCCTGCCCTGTCCCCCCTCCTGCCCCCTTTTTTCTGGTTTATTCTATTGATTCCTCAGCTAATTATCCCCCTCTCTCCTCTCCTCCCCCCAAACACACAGTGCAGCTCAGATGTTTGCTGGAATTGCCTCTTTTCCCTGCCAGCATCCCAACTTTGGCATGTACTGGCAGCTGCAGCCTCAGGGCTTTTCCTGCATGAGGGAGCAATCAGGAATCTTCCTGGAGAGCCAGGGAATTCTGATGTGACTGCTCTGAACACACCTTCAGCCCAGGCTGGGCACTTCAGCCTCTAGGATGAACCACCCATGCCAGGGTAGTGTGTGCAAAAATAGGCTTTTTTCCCCCCCCAGAAAAAGTCTGGGAGGTGGGAGGATGGATTTTTCCAAGCCCTGCATGTCATGCAGGTGTTTATCCAACAGCAGCTCTCCTGGTCCCCACACCAGTGACCACACTGGGAAGTTTGGAACTGGGCACAGGAGTTCCTGCAGCTCCAGTGAAGGAAGTCACGTTTTTTAAGCTGGTATTTGTGGTGTGGAAAAGCTCCTGTGTCAGCTCAGTGTGGAGTGTGAAGATGAGGAAGGCAGGGAGGAAGCAGGAATGTGTGATGGAGCAAGTCCTGCCCATCCACTCTTCTCCACCACTCCCCAGGGGCATGGAGAGAAAACCAGGGGCAGGCAGGACTCTGTTTCTCCAGCCAGGGCTTTCCCCCTGGTTTGCAGTTTGAAGAATCCCACATTTCTGGCGTTTCAGGGAGAGGATAAAACAGGGATGAACAAACCAAACCCAGCAGTCTGTGTCGTGTCAGCGGGGCCAGACCCAGAGCAGCTGCTGGGAGGGAGGGGAGGGGGCACGTGGGGGTCTCTGGGGTGGGCTCTGAGCTCTCCACCACCTGCTCTCTCTACCTGTGCACGTGCAGCACGTGCTGGCATCGAGGTCCTCCCGTTTTCTGGGTGGGGTGGGTCTGGGAAACCCTGGAAAAGAGGCCAGAGAGGGAGGGCAAAGGGGCACAGGGTCCCTTTGGGGAAATGGCAAGAGCAAAGCTCGGGTTTCCAGAAATCAGCCAGAGCTTGTTAAGTCCTTCCCTATCATCTTACCATGAAGTGATTTGGGGCTTCTGTTGGTATTCTGCTCTCCAGATGTTGGCTGCAGCTGGGGCAGAGATAGTGGGGATGCTCCCAGCCAGAAGCTGGGACGTGGGGGGAAGGGATCCCGGGCTCGTGTGGATGGGTGGAGAAGGAAAGAGGGCTACGAATGTATGGTTGTAAATCCACCCCTACACACCCTCCTTTCTTTTCCCTTACAACTGTTAACTCTCAGCAGAGGGAAAGTTACCCTTCCAGTGCTCTCTGATTTCTTTTCCAGAGTCGGAAGGACAAAGAGAGACCTAAACAGAAGCACAAAAAGCGGCCGGAGTCTCCTCCCAGCAGCCTCCCCCCGGCCCCTGTGCCCGTCACCACCGACAAGGTACCACCCCTGGCACCCCTGGCACGGGATGTTTGGGGGGGTGGGATGGGGAGAACCACCCTGGCCGTGGCAGGGCAGGGCAGGGGAGCTCAGGAAGGGCTTTTGTCCGTTGAGGTTGGTTCCCCACCCCGTCACGTTCCCGCTCTCGACGCCCACCTTGGGAATTTTCCAGGCAGCTCTCCTGGTTTCTGCCAGCACTGACGACACAATCACGGAGTGAACCCCCCCCCCCAGGGGTTGGGCTGGAAGTGCCAGCCTGGTTTGCAGCAGATGTGCAGACCTGAAGCTCTCACAGAATAGATGAATGCCCAAGGTTTGGCCTTTGCTGCTGCTCACGTTGTGAACAGTCCGGGCAGGTGGGACAGCGAGGCAGGGCCTGGGGAGGGGTGTTACCCTTTATTAGACTTGCATTTTATATTTGTCCTGGTTTATTCCCCTAATTTCCCTTATTAGGGAAAAAAGGAGACAACCTCAGGAGCACACAAGCTCTTCCAAGTGCTTCCAGGAGGCAGCTTTTCCGTGGGAGCAGTGGGAGCTTGGCTTCTTAGCTCCTCCATTTCGGGAAGACTCAGGCAGAGGGGCACAGTGTGGGGGCCTGTTCTGCTCCTGAGGTGTAGAGAGAGTCCAGTTCCCTGCTGGGAAGGTGTCACCTGAGTGAGTTTGTCCTCTCCATGCCCAGGGGGGGCACGGTCAGGGTGCCAGGGTATCCCTGGGATTCCCTGCTGCTGACATGGGCTCACCCCTGGCTGTAAATCGGGACAGCCCTGGGATTTCTGTCACTCCTGACAGCCCCAAATCCTGGGGAGCAGCCCAGGCACAGCTGAGCTTGCACACAGCAAGGTGAAGGGTCAGGGAACAAGAGGGGTCACTCCAGTCCTTGGACCTTTGGAGCTGAACTCAGGAGTGGGAATGGGAATTAATGCAGCTCCTTAGCAGGGCTCTTTGGTGTAAATGAGGAGGGCAAGGGCCAGGCTCCTGCTGGAACAAATAAACCTGTCCTTTTGGGGAAAGGGACACAAAGGAACGTCCCTTAGTGCACAGAAATGCTGCTTGGAAAGGCTTGGGTGTCCTTTCTGTGGCAGGACTGGCTGGTGGGAAGGAGAATTCCCAGGCTGGCAGTGTCTGGCTGTGTGGGAAGCACTGCAGGGACAGGCTGGGAGGTGAAAGCACAGGGGCTTGGGGTTAGGACTGGAGAGGATTTGTGTGAGGCCGAGGGGGAAGATGTAGGTCATAGCTGCCCTGGCAAGGCTGGGAGCAGCAGAAAGTTCCAGCAGAACAACCTCTGAGCTCTGCTCCTGCTTTCCCTGCTCCAGAGAGCCCCTGATTTCCCAGGGGGGTGTGAGGGCAGCTCAGCTCTGGCTCTTGGGAGCAGTGGATTCACCCGGTTAACGGAGCTGACAGGACCTGATGGCCTGAGAAGATTATTTTCAAGCTGAGCTGAAACCCAAAACCTGCCTCTTGGCCAGGGAGAGCAGTTGTCAGACAATCACCCACTGTCTCCTCCACAGTCCTGCCAGCCCTTTATAAACACGGAGGGAAGGGTGTAATTCAGTTTTACAGGCAGCTTTCAACTCCCTGCAAGATGAAATTGGGGAGATCCTGATTGCTGTGGCTGTGCTGGAGCTGACAAGGGTTTAGTGTTTCCCCAGGGATTTATTATTAACCCTCGGAATGGAGAGTGTATTTTACTTTTTTGTGCATTTTTTTTTTTGTGCCTAGATCCCAAACTTTTGCTCAGACTCTGTTGCCAAAGGTACTCACTCCAGATCGAATTTGATCCTAAATTTAAGAGCCTGTTACCACCCTGAACAGCCCCCTTGGAGGGGAGGGGGGTTGTGTGAGGCTTTCTGGATTGTTCCACCAGTGCAACAGGAGAATAGAAAACCTTGAGGCACAGCAAGGTGGCTTGTCCAGACTGACAGAGAGCAGGGTTAGGTGGGATATTGGGAAGAAATTCCTGCCTGGGAGGGTGGGGAGGCCCTGGCACAGGTTGCCCAGAGAAGCTGTGGCTGCCCCAGCCCTGGAAGTGTCCAAGGACAGGGCTTGGAGCAACCTGGGCTAGTGGAAGGTGTTCCCTGCCCAGGGGGTGGGACTGGGTGGGCTTTAATGTCCCTTCCAACCCAACCCATTCCACGATTCTGTGGTGTTGTGGAAGAAGGTTGTGAGTGGCTCAGACCCAGAGATGGTGCAGGTGGTGGCAGGAATTCCTGCCCCTGCCCCTGTGATCCTCCCAGCTGAGGGGCTGCTGCAGTTCCTCATCCACACCCTCCCTCCTTCCCCTCACCAGCACTTTAATCCAGGGCAAAGCCTCTCCGTGTTTCCCACACATCCCCAGCCTCCCCCAGCCCTTCTGTGTTCCAGCAGTGCCTCCCCAAGGAGCTCCTCCTGCCAATCCAGAGGCACAGGGATGCTCTGATTCCCCATAAATAGATTACCCAGGGAGGAGCTCGGGAGCTGCTCGTGGCACAGGGGGGGGATGAGGGAGCAGGGACAGCCCTTGGGAGACAGCAGGGATGGGGGCAGCAGGGATAGGGACAGCCCCTGGGGGACAGCAGGGATGGGGACAGCCCTTGGGGGACAGCAGGGATGGGGACAGCCCCTGGGGGATGGCAGGATGGGGACAACAGGGATGGGGACAGCCCCTGGGGGACAGCAGGGATGGGGCAGGAGGTGTGTGCCCACTTCTGCTGAGCCCTCCAGGTGCCCCCATCCCACCTCTCCCAGTCTCAGACAGGAGTTTCCCCATCAGTCTGTCACCCCCCAGCCGGGGCAGCAGGTTTTTGGGGTGACGTTTTTCACGTGGTTGCTTTAAACAGACCTTTCTAAACGTGGCTCCTGCCTCCTCCTCTCACTTCCTCGGTGGTTCCCTGCATTTTTTCCTGCCCCCACACCCCTGTGCAGCACATGGAATGCTGGTGGTTCTGCACACACACAGATCAGAGATTCCCACCCCCTGGAGAAAAGCTGATCCAGGGATTGAAGGCTCTGTTTGTGCTCAGGGATCCAGCCCTGAGCTGCAGAATCCCCTTCGTTAGGGGGCAGGACTGCAGCCCTCGTTACTGTATTTAATACTGGGGTGATGGCAGCAGCCCCCTCCCCTGCAGCCCAGGCTGTGTTGTGCTTGGCAGCCCACGTGTGTCTTCTGGAAGGTTCTGCAGCTCCACAGAGCTCGCAGGGACAGCACTCGAGGCACAGGGAGGGGAAGGGCTTGGTGTGGTTGCACTTTGTCCCACAGTGGTTGGGCTCTTCCCCAAATTCAGGCTCTGCTGGGAAGGGCCCTTTGTGGGGAGGAGGGTTTGTGGTAGGACCCTGCAGACCCATCTGCTGTGACCTGCTTGGCAAACAATCTCTGGGATGGAGCTTGGCAGGAGGTGGGAAAATCCTGCCCCGAAGTGTCTGGGATCTCTCAGGGAGGTCTTTGGGGTCAGGTCAGCCCCACACGTGAGTGTGTCCACACCCCACCTTCAGCTCAGCCCCTCTTTGCCCTCTTTTTTCTTTCCCTTAATTTTGCAATTAAGATTTATTTCCCAGCTCAGCTTTCCCCCTTCCCCCCTTGCATTCATCCCTCCCTTGCCCTCCCTGCGCTCCCCTCCTGACCCTCCGGATTTGGAACAAGTCTCCTCCTGTGGTTTCCCCCTCCTGCACCTTGTGCTGAGCTCCAAACCAGCGAATTTTGGGAAGGAGAACCATCCCATTCCTGTGACTCCAAGAGCAGCCTTCCCACAGCCCCCAGAGCCCACTCCCCTTTCCCTTCCCCAGGCACATGTGGAAAGGCGGAAAGATTTTCATGCTCCCTCTGAGCTCATAAATCAAGGAGGTTTAATCTCCTACATCCAGGAGTCTGTGATGAGAAAATACAGATTCCCCCTCCTCCTCCTCCTCCTCTCCCCCCTCCCACCCCCCCATTTCCACCACTCCCTTCCTCCTGTCTTTCATATTCCCGGCACATCTGGTGTGTGTTATCCTGCCAGCTGTTGCATTGTGCAGAGTGATTGAACCATGTGGGAGGAACCAGAGGGATAGATTTTTATCTGGGCATTCATGAGTCTGCATTTACAAGCCCCTTTTTCCTCCAGCTCTCCCCAGGAAGAGGTCAGCTGGAGCCAGGGATGGCAGGAAGGGATTTGTGCTTCTCCCTTGCCTTCCCAGTAAGGAATGGGAAGGTGTTTTCACTGATGCCCAGGTGTTTTGGGCTGCAGCCATCACAGTAGAGCCATATTTATAATACTGATTGGTTGCAGTGACACCTAAAAGAAGTGATCTTTGAACACTTAGGCTTGGCTTGGAACTGATTTGAAGGGGAAGGTTTCACATCCCAGAGTGAGCACCCCAGGGAAGCCGGTTTTCCCTCCGTCCCCCTCTCCCCCTGCTGAACTCCCACACTTCTCTCTCTCATCCCAAGCTCCTGGATTTCCCAGCATCTGGCCAGCCCCTTCATCCCCCTTGCTTCCCTGTCTCCTGCAGGCTTATCTGGGGGTTGGGGAGCATCTGTTGCTGCGTGGTCAGAGGCTGCTCTGAGGGCGTCACCGGGGGAATAATTTACTGCCGGGGGTTTGAGAAGGCCTGGGCTGGCTCTGGGAAACTCCTGTGACAGCAAAAGGATGAGCAAGTTCCCCCAGGTGGAATGACTGTGCTGAGAGCAGCACACCTGAGAGAGGAAGCTGAAATATGTGTTTGAATCCTGGCCAGATTCAGAGTTTACTCGGGCTGGTCGGCGCGGGGAGTCTCCGCTGCCCGTGCCCTGATTGCAGTGCCCTCTTTAATTTCCTGCACTTCCATGGGATGAGGGTAATCCCTGGGGAGTATAAAGCCTGGTGCCAGCAGGCAGCAAGAGAGGGAAATGTTGCCTTTCCCTCCTGAGTAACCTGACCTGGCCAGCCCTGTGTGGGCAGAGGGGGCAATTACTGCTCTGGGGGGAATCTGGCTCGAGTGAGTCCCCCCCGTGTCTGTGCCTTGCCCAGGGCTCCACCAGCCACCATGAGGGGAGCAAGGAGACCTCAGAGGTCGGCAGGTCGGAGGTGAAAGGCAGGAAGTCCTCGAGCCATGGCAGCAGCCACAAGGGGAAGAAGACGGGAAGCGGGAAAAGCTCCGTTGGCTTCAGCTCGGCTTCATCCAGCGGGACCTTCCAGCCTGCAGGTAAGGGGTGAAGGAGGAGGGAGAGGAGTAGAAAGAGGGTGGGGATGAAGGAGAAGGAAGAGGAGAATGGTGGTGATGTTTTGTGTACAAAGAGACCTGTTCACCTGTTCAACCCTTGCCAGTGGCGACCTCTTTAACCCCTTGAAGGGAAAGGGAAAAGTCTGGTTGCTCCCAGCTCTGTGCACAGAGGGAAGAGGGGAGGCAGAGGAGTGCTCCAGCTCCCCTCCTGCACGGGCTCGTGAGGAAAACCAGCTCCAGATGTCAGAGGGGAGGGAGGAGGGAAGGGATTCTGTGCTCAGACAATCTGGGCAGCACCTGCCCTCTGCTCCGTAGGTGGTTCAGGCTGCAGTTGTGGTTGAGGAGCACGAGAGGAGAGCCCTGAGCCCACACCTGACAGCCAGGCTCCCCTGAGCCCTGAGGCAGAGCCCTGAGCCCACACCTGACAGCCAGGCTCCCCTGAGCCCTGAGGCAGAGCCCTGCAGGGCTCCCATCTGCTCCGACCTCGCTCGGTTCTTCTCGAGCTGTTGTCGCGTCCCATCCCCTGGGATGCTCCTGGGGGGATGCAGGGATGGGGGAAAACAGACACCACAGGTGGGGATGAACCTGCTGCTGGTGCTTCCCAGGGAGCATCCAAGGGCTGAGGGGGAGGTCACAGGGATGGCTCAGCTCGGGCACTTTATTGGGAGGAAGGACCTGTGCTGTGCCCCTGTGCTGCTGTCGCCTCGTGGGCTGAGTTCTGCCACCCCCTGCCCCCCCTGTGTGCCCCCCAGGTACCTCCTGCAGCAGCTTGCAGTGCTCCCAGGACTTTGTGACCTTCCCCAAGCTCGAGCAGGACGACGAGAAGTACCGGAAACCTGTGTCTTCCTCGTCCTCCTCCCACTGCTCCCCGCTCTACGAGGGCCAGAAGGGCGACGTCTTCGAGCAGAAGGTGATTTTCTCCGGCTTCGGGTCCATCATGCGCTTCTCCACCTCGGCTGTGAGCCAGCAGAGAGCCCGGGATGCCTCCCCCGTGGACTACAAAGCCTCAAATCCCACCAGTGGCCCCTCGGTGGGGACCAGTGGGACCAGTGGGAGCAGCAGCAGCAGCAGCCACAAGCGGATGCCGTCGCTCAGCCTGGAGGAGGGAGAGGTGCTGAAGGAAAAGAAGCACAAGGGTAGCAAGAAGAACAAGCACGGGCCCGGCAGGCCAAAGGGGGGGAAAAGCAAAGAGATTTTGGGGGCCCAGCTGGCTGGGTCCACCTCCACGTCCTCGTCACCCTTCTCCGGGGGCTCCCTCGTGAGCTCCAGCATCGGCAACTCCTCCCGCTCCTTCAGCCACACCGGGAACCTGCCCAGCCTCAGCATGGAGTCCCCGCTGCTGGGCTCAGGTATGTTCCCCCTGGGGCTCCAGGTGTGCACAGCTGCTTTTCCCAGCCTCTTCTCCTCACGTTTAGCTGCTGTCTGGACCTGCCTGCAGAGTCCAGTCCCCTGAATTCTGTCCCGTAAACATCCACCTCTGGGCTGCCCCCGGTTCCGTCCTGGCCCTTCATCCTGGAATCTCCTCCGGGTCAGCTGGGGCTGGGGCTGGGGTGCAGGTCTGAGCTGGGGAGGGGGGACGTTCCAAACCCTTTTTGCTCAAGGGCTGCAAAGCCTCAGCCAGCCAGAGCTGAATTTCCAGCTCGATAAAGAGGGATATTCACAGGCCAAACCAGAACAACCACAGTCTGACCCCAAATTAGAGACTCTCCTCAGTGGTTCAAGTTTAACCCCTCTTTTAAAAGCAAAACCTCTCGTCCTGCTCTTACCACATCCACGTCCTTACAGCTGTTCCCAGCCTGAGCTGCCTTCCCCAGCCAGGCCAGGGTGAGGACAGGCAGGAAGGGGTTAAGGCAGCAGCAGAGGAGGGGCTGAGGTTTGACACTGTTCTGGCAGCAGAACTTGTCATCGGTCTATTGTGGGTTGTTTGCAGATGCTCCAATTTAGGTCAGATTGCAGGGGGGGAGGTAGTTTTGTTGTGTTCCAGGAGCCCAGGCCGTTTGTCTGGAGGGAAGGAGCTGCAGGAATCCAGGCAGCTTCCCCAGCCCTAACCTTGGGCCAATTTTTTCTTTTTTTTTGCCTCTCCCTGGAACAAACAAAGGGATGTTTCAAAGAGGAGGAGGCTGCCAGGCCTCCGTGTTCCCCCTGTTCTTGCTCGTTGCCCTGTTCTGCTCGTTCTCTCCCATTCTTCTCTCGTGCAGAGCTCTTGGCAGGGCTCCCCCTGCTCTGGGCACTGCATTCCTGAGCCCAGGGAAGGCAGACGGGTCCCCTCCCTCGGCAGCAGCTCTCTCCTCTCTTCCTCTTCCCCGTTTTTGTCACGGAAGGGGGCAGGTGTGTGAACTCTTTGAGTCCACTCCCCCCTTCTGCCACCGATTCGTGCCTTGGGTGAGTCTCCCAACGCTGTGCTTTGCCTGTTGGATTGCATCTGGATGCACTGGGGAAGGGGCAAGGCTGGAAAACTCAGGGACACCTTTGGATAGAGGGGTTGTGGGCTGAGACCACCCTGGTGGTGGAATTGCACTGGTGCCACCGAGCCCCAGCCCTGCTGTAAACCAGGCCCTGGAAGGGAGAGGAGGGAATCCTGTCTCTCTAACCCATCTCCCCCTTGCAGGGATCTACACCAGTAACAAGGACCCCATTTCCCACGGGGGTGGGGTGCTCAGGGCTGTGTGCAGCACCCCCCTCTCCTCCAGCCTCCTGGCACACCAGGGCACCTCGTCCCTCCCGCAGCTCAACCGCTCCCCCTTCGCCAGCACCATCCCAGCCTCCTCCTCCTCCGTGTCCACCACGCAGGTAAGGACAGCAGGACCTGCCCAGGGAGAGGGTTGGGCAGAGCCAGGGCCACCTGTGGGCACGGGGGGAGCTGCTTTCCCACCTGGGAACAGCTGCTCTTCCTGCCCTTTGGAGGTGTGGGGGGTGGTTTCGTGTCACAAACCCGTGTGGGTTTGGGAGGAACTGGAGCCTAAAAGGGCAGGTGGCTTCCCACTGACTGGGAACTTCCCACTGCTCTGGTGGTTGGGTCCTGCCAGCAGTGCCAGCCCTGCCTGCCCAGCAGCACAGGCACCCCGAGGGAGGGCTGGCAGGTCCCAGCTGGGTGGGCTGTGCCAGGACACGGAGCCTCGTCCTTGTCAGGAGCTCTCTGAGAGGTGTTTTACAGAGCTTTGCAGTGTTAACACAGCTCCTTCAGGCTCCTGGCTCTGAGGCAGGGCTGGGAAGATCTCAGCTGTCTAGTGAGACTGCCAGGGAGATATTTTTAACACCCTCTCGGGGTTGGAGTCGGGAAGAGATGGAATAACGAAGTTATTTTCCTCCTGTGCTTTCGAGAAGTCACTTCTCTGAGCCACATCTCCCCCCTCCCTGCCTGTTGTCCCTGCAGGTGTTCTCACTGGCAGGTTCAACATTCAGCCTCCCTTCCTCACATATCTTTGGAAGCCCCCTCACCTCTGGGCTGTCGATCAACCCCCTCCTGAACCAGTCGGAAAGCAGCCGGGCAGGTACGTGAATCCCAAGGTATGTGAGCCTGGAATTCCCAGGGCGGGGCTCCCTGGAAGAGTGGAGGCAACTCTGGTTGTCACCAGCTGCCCTCCCTGCCTGCTCCCCCCCTCTGTGTGAGAGCCAGGGGCTGAGAGAGGGGCTCTCCCTGAGCAGGGGGTGCTTGTGTTCCCCTAAAACACATCTGGTGTGCCCCTGGCTGGTGTGTGTCTCCCTGGAAAAGTGCAAGAGTGTCAAGTCCTTCCCTGGAGAATTTGTTGTCTTTTTTTCAGGCAGTGAAAGCCACGATGAGCTTTGCTTGCTCAAAATACCTCGAAAGCTTTTCCTTGGGCTTTGTTTCCTTGGGCTTTGTCTCCTTGGGTTTCTCTCTCTCTCTCACGCTCCGAATTTTCATCTTCCTCTTCTGTTCTGAGTTACTTTCTTCCCTTCCCCTTTGGCTTTGTCCTGAATGCCACAAAACCCACTGGTTTTCCCCTCCCAAACACCAATGTGCCAGCCCTGAATCACTTACAACTGCTCTTTTTTTATTTTTTTTTTCCCCACCGAGGCAAATTCATTTTCCTTGGAGAACTGCCTGGTTAACAAGCAGGAAAACTTGAAGCATCATAAGATTTCCCTACTTTTCTTCCCCCTCAGACAGAGCAGGGCTGATTTTTTTTTTTTTTTTTTTGGTGATTAAACAAAAGCACCCTCCTGATTTTCAGCTGTTTAGTTACTGGTGCAACAGCCTCCTGCTCCCCTAACCCAGAAATCTGGGAGCTCAGCTGTGCTGGATGCTGAATCCTGGGAGGTAAAAGCCTGTCTGGTGTCACGCTGAGTGACAAGCACTTGAAAACACAGCCCTCATTAGGGGTGGCTCAGAGTGCTCCAGATAATCCCACACCACTGTTCCCTCATTTGCCTTAACAAGGGGGCATGTGAAGCATGAATGGACACGTGTGTTTTTTCCTCCTGACCTGTGCAAGCCCCTGGAAGGTCCCTCTGTGTGTCCCTGGCAGTGTTTTGTCTGTCTGTCCCTGAGCTGGGAGGGGACAGCACAGCTCAGCCCGTGGGAATCGCTGGGGCTGAGTCAGGAGTGATTCACCCACCTGGAATTAAGGGGTGGAAAGAAGGGGGGGAAAGGAATTACCTTTCCCTCGACCCCGTGCTGTTGTTTTGGCAAGGTGCTGACAGGAGAGGGAAGGAATCACCTGTCAGGGATAATCCTGGAGTCCAGGTCCTGTTCCAGCCCTGGGGCTACTGATGAGTGAATCATGGAGGCAAAATCCAACATACAAAGTGCTCAAAAAAAAAACAAACAACCCCCTGATCCTTAATTTCCTTTTCCAAGATTGCTTTTTTTTTGTTGTTGTTTGTTTGACAGGGATCTCAGAAGCTTCAGGATACTTTTCCCCCCCCCCCCCAATTCCAGGCAGCCTTAAAGAACAGCTCCTGGGTTTTGTCAGGTTTAAGCTCTGTCCATCACTATCTCCTGCTGGAATTAGTGGCCCAGAGGGCGTTAAGCCAAATTCACTTGCTTTTTTTTTTTTCTCCAGGGGGATTAATTAACATGCATTAAACCTCCTGTGTGGGGGCCCTTTTCACTTAAAAGTGTGGTGATGCCTTTAATCCCAAATCGTTTAACAGGATGGTTGTGGAGTTCTGAGTAATCCCACCTTGTCTTTAATTCAGATTCCTGTTCCTGAGAGTGTCTGTGCAGACAGATCCCGTGGGGACAGAGCTTTCACTGCAGCAATAGTTCAGCTTTTCCCCATTTCCATGTGCTGGAGGGAACTGGGGGAACAGAGGGGTTGTTTTCACTGCTGCAGGTTCAAACCACGCTGCCTTTGGCAGTACAGAGAGTCTGATTCTTATCTGAGCTACTGTCTAGTCCTTCCTCCCACGGTTTGTCCTGGTTCCTGCCGTGTTATGATGACAGACCAAACGTTTTTATCTCTTCTGGTTGTCTTCAAGCCTCTTTTCCATGCTGGCTGCCTCGGGAAGGGCTGTCTCTGGGTGATAACTCAGTCATCTCCTGTTCTGGACACATCAGGGTGGTGTTGGCCAGGAGATAATTGAATGTGGAACCTGGTGCTGCTTCAGAAACCAGAATCATGTGTGTGCAGCCTCCCTGGGCTGCAGCAAACGACGTTACAGGGATGAGCAGGAAGTCAAACCTTCCCCGAATTTTTATTTGGTTGCAAGTTAAAATGGTCTGGGGGAAGCTGCACAGGGTGGGCTGGGGATGTTTGTGTGGAATCATGGAGTGGTTTGGGTTGGAAGGGACCTTAAAGCTCATCCAGTGCCACCCCCTGCCATGGGCAGGGACACCTTCCACTAGCCCAGGTTGCTCCAAACCCCATCCAGCCTGGCCTTGGGCACTTCCAGGGATGGGGCAGCCACAGCTTCTCTGGGCAACCTGTGCCAGGGCCTCCCCACCCTTATATTAAAGAATTTCCTCCTAATATCCCATCTAAATCCCCCCTCCTTCAGCTTAAGGCCATTGCCCTTGTCCTGTCACTCCAGACCTGGGTCCGAAGTCCCTCTCCAGCTCTCTTGGAGCCCCTTTAGGCACTGGAAGGTGCTCTCAGGTCTTATACTGGGAGACCAGTGCCGAGTGGCAACCGCTGGTCACCTCCAGAAAGCCCCAGCTCCTGCCCAGAAGGATGGCCCAGCTGTAATCAGTGTCCAGAGGGACATTCCCGTGGGGCTGAAGGAGCGAGGATCCCACTCCTACCTGTCTGTGAGGAGCTGCTGAACAACAGCTGCGTTTGCTTGTTCCCAGCCACAGAAAATCCCCCTCTCCGGGCATCCCACTGTAAATCACAGCATTCCCACTGTAAATCACAGCATTCCCACTGTAAATCACAGCATTCCCACTGTAAATCACAGCGTTCCCTGCAGGAGATTTCCGGGATTCTTGCACATGAGAATCTGTCTGGTGTTGTGTGAAGAAGAGGAGGGGCCCTGAGCCAGCTGGTGTGGGCTGTAGTCACAACATCTGACACGTCCCAGGGCGAGGGGAGTGTGTTTATGGGCTGGCAGGCCCTGGGGATGGGAAGCAAATGGCAGATAAATACAGTTCACTCCTGGATTACTCCTTGGATGGGAGAGATCCTGCATGTGGCTCCGTCCTCAGCTTCCTGGGATGGAGGGATGGCTGGGGGGCAGGATTCTGGATACTAAAGCATTTCCCCCCTCTTAACTGAGCACTGCCGAGGTCACAGCTCGAATCCTGGGGTCACTTCTGGCCCCCTCATGACAAGAAGGACATCAAGATGCTGGAGCGTGGCCAGGGAATGGCAGTGGAGCTGGGAAGGGGCTGGAGCAGCAGGAGCAGCTGAGGGAGCTGGGGGAGCTCAAACCTGGCAGAAAAAGGGAGGCTCAGGGGGACCTTCTGGCTCTTGCAACCCCCTGACAGGAGGGGGAAGCTGGGGGGGGTTCGGGCTCTGCTCCCAGGGAACAAGGGACAGGAGGAGAGGGAACGGCTCAGGCTGTGCCAGGGGAGGGTCATGTTGGACAGGGAGGGTCAGGTTGGACATCAGAGGAAAATTTCATCATGGAAAGGTGGTCAGGCCCTGGTCCAGGCTGCCCAGGGCAGTGGTGGAGTCACCAGCCCTGGAAGTGCTCAGAAAACGTGTGGATGTGGCACTTGGGGACACGGTTTGGTGGTGAACGGGTCAGTGCCGGGTTAATGTTTGGGCTCGATGACCTTGGAGGGCTTTTCCAACCTGAACGATTCCGTGAATCCGTTTAAGCTCCTTAGAAAGGAGCTGAGCACCTGGAAACTTTGGAGAACCCCAGCTGGGTTTCAGGAAAGGATCCTGGCTGATCCCGGAGGTCTTTTCCGACATAAACGACACAGACTGATCCTCCAGGATTCCAGGATCGATCCTGGAGTCGGGGGAGGGGGGCGGATCTGCAGTGACACCGGGCAAAGCCGCGCAGGGCTGGGCACAGGATTTATCCATCCCCCCACACCCCCCCGGCAGCTCCGGGAAAACCAGCTCAAGGAAAACCTCCTTCCTCGCCCATGGCGGGGGCAGAGCGGGCCCGGGTGACCTCCCCGGGGTGACCCCCCCGTGCCGGGGCTGCCAGCGGTGCCAGCGGCCCCTCCCCGGGGGAGCGGGTTCCGGCCCCGCGTGCGCGAGCGCGGGGCTGGCGCTGCCCGGGGCTGATCGATTCGGGGCCGCTTCGGTGCGGTTTCTGTGCGGGCTTTGTCCGGGACTGATCGGGGCTGATCCGATCGGGGCGCTCGGTGCGGTTCTGTGCGGGGCTTTGTCCGGGACCTGATCGGGGCTGATCGATCGGGGCCGCTCGGTGCGGTTCTCACCGGGCTTATTCGGGACTGATCGGTGCGGTTTTGCTCGGTGCTGCCTGGTTCTGCTCGGTGCTGCCCGGTGTCTCTCGGTCCTGCCCGGTGTCTCTCGGTGCCTCTCGGTGTCTCTCGGTCCTGCCAGTGTCTCTTGGTGCCGTTCGGTGTCTCTCCGTCGTGTCCGGTGTCTCGGTGCTGCCCGGTGTCTGTCGGTGCCGTTCAGTGTCTTTCGGTCGTGCCCAGTGTTTCGGTGCTGCCCGGTGTCTCCCGGTGTCTCTCGGTCCTGCCCGGTGTCTCGGTGTCTGTCGGTGTGTCGGTGCTGCCCGGTGTCTGTCGGTGTCTCTCGGTGTGTCTCGGTCCTGCCCGGTGTCTCGGTGCTGTCGGTGTCTCCCGGTGTCTGTCGGTGTGTCGGTGTCTCCCGGTGTCTGTCTGTCGGTGTCTCCCGTCGGTGCTGCTCGGTGCTCCCATCTAGCGGGGACACCCCGGGCACTCGCCGCCGCTCAACACCGGCCCCTTCTGTCCCTCTCCCCGCGCAGAGCCGGACCTGGAGGATTGCAGCTTCGGCTGCCGAGGACGTCGCCGCAGGAGAGTCTCTCTTCCATGTGAGTGTCCTTCAGGAGTCCTCCCCGCCCGCGGGAGCCCCGGGAAGCCGTGGGATGACACAGCAAGGAAAGGGAGAGAGGCTGGCGAGGAGGAGGAGGCGGCTCCTTCCCTGCTCCTCGGGGCTGGGAAGGATGGGATGGGATGGGATATGATCGGATGGGATGCGATGCACTGGGATGGGATCGGATGGGATGGGAGGGGATGGGGCTGCTTTGCTTTCCTAACACAAACCAGGACTAACAGGAACGCGGGGCTCACCTGGAGTGGAGCAGAGGAGGCTGAGGCAGGGGAGGGGATGCAGCCACTCCCAGCATGAGGCACAGGAGCTGTGGGAGCAGGGAGTGGAGGAGGATGGAGCAGGGAAGCCTCTCTGACACCCCCCAACCCTCGCCCAGGTCCCCCATCAGCAGCCTGCCGACCCTCTTCGACCAGACCGTGTCCTGCAGCAGCAGTGGGCAGCTGGAGAATGTTCCCCAGGCCACCCCCAACATCGAGCAGCTCCTGGAGAAGCAGGGCAACGGGGAAGCCGGAGTGAACAGTGAGTCACTGAGAGAGGAGAGGTCCTTGTGTGTGTTTGTGTGGGAGCCAGCTGGGATTTTGCCTGCAGGCAGCGGAGCCGGGTGGGGGACAAAGCACCAGTGTGTGCCATGGGGGAGTAGCTGCCAGTGGGACTGGGGGTTGGGGCCAGTCTCCTCCCGGAGTGGGCTCTAACTGTGGATCCTGTGATCCCCTTCTCCTCTTCCCTCCGTCCCCCTTCTCTCCCCTGCCCCCTTCCCTCCCCTGCAGTTGTAGAAATGCTCAAGGCCCTGCACTCGCTGCAGAAGGAGAACCAGCGGCTGCAGGAGCAGATCATGACTCTGACGGCCAAGAAGGAGCGTTTGCAGCTCCTCAACGTCCAGCTCTCCGTCCCCTTCCCCGTGGTGACCAGCAGCAACGGCCCCGGCAGCCAGGCCCAGTACATCCTGCCTCCCAACGGTGAGGGGACAGGGGGACACCCCCCCTGTGCCCCGGGGTGGGCAGGGGGGTCACGGTGGGGGGGTCTGACCCGTTTACACGCTGTCCCTGGCTGTCAGGCTCCAGCCCTGACTCTGCACCCTCACTTCTTTCCCCCCTCCAGTCTGCAACAACGATTCCCTGAGCATCAGCAAGAGCCCCCCGTGCAAGAACAGCTTTGGGATTGAGAACTCCCTCTCCACTTCCTCTGAGGTAACACGGCCCCTGCACCCGCCAGCCAGCTGGGAAGGGGCTCAGGGAGGGAGCAGGGCAGTCCCAGGACTCTGACTCGGTAGCCAGCTCCTAAAGCCTCGTAGCCCAGGCTCAGAATCAGGAATTCTTTCCCCGGCGTGCCCGTTCTTCATCTCAGTGCTGAGGTCTGAGTAGAGTAGCTGAGACTGGGAGCGTGAGGTGAGAATGCTTCCAGGTTATCCTGGAGATCCAGCCAAAGCATGTCTGAGTTCTGGGACCCCTCTGACCTGCACTTGCAGTCACAGTTCCCCCCCTTCCCACCTCCAGCTCCCGCCCTCGGAGCTGAGCCGACCTCTGGCAGCCGCCCCAGTCCGATGCTCTTGTGTCCGTTTCTCCCCCAGGACCCTCACTCAGGGTGTCCCAGCAGGAGCAGCTCCTCCCTGTCCTTCCACAGCACCCCTCCGCCCCTGCCCATGCTGCAGCAGAGTCCTGCCTCGCTCCCCCTGCCCGGGGTGCAGCAGGTGAACGGCCTGGCCCGGGTGGCCGGCGGCGGGCTGGGGGGAGGCACCAGTGCCAGCCACAGCCTCTCCACGGTGCCCATGGTGGACGGCCTGATGGGGACCCTGGCAGGAGGCCAGCAGATGCCCATCAACGGGATCCTGGGGAACCTGAACGGAGCCCAGCCCGCCCAGCCCGCCAGCGCGCCGACGCAGGGGCCGGGTGGGCCCCCGGCCCTGCAGCTCTCCACCAGCCTGAGCAGGTGAGGACGGGGGGCTCGGGGGCACGGCCCTGCCCTCTCCAGCAGCAGTTTAGCTCCGGGAGGGAGGGAGGGACGAGCCCTGTGCGTGCAGGAACCCAGAGGGGCCACGCTGACGTTCCCTGCCCTGTCCCCTCGCAGCATTCCCAGCCTGAGTCCCCTGACGGAGCAGCAGCGGCACGTCCTGCACCAGCACGAGCAGCAGCTCCAGCAGCTCCTGACTTCCCAGCCCCTTAATCCGGTGAGTGCCGAGCTGTCCAGTGGGAAAACCTCACAGCAGAGGGCAAAACTTCAGGCTGCCTCCTTCCCCCGAGTGCCCTGCCCACGGGGGTGCCGAGCTGGGCGCCTTTTCCCGGCTGCTGTGGATGGAATGAGGAGTGAAGCTTTAGGCAGGAAGGTGCAGCACCTCCCCAGGAGGGGAGACCTGGGGTTTGAACCGTTCTCTTTGTACGAAGGGAAAAAATTTAATCTGGGTTTCCCACGTCCTGAGGGGGGTGAGAAGGTGGGAACTTCTGAGCCACCCTAAAATCGGGGTGGGGGGAGTAAAATGAGTTGAGCTCTTACCTCCTCCAGCCATCCTTGGGTGCAAATCGTGTCTGATCCTGCTGCTGGGGGGGCTGGGCTCTGGGCTCCCAGGTGTGCTGAGGCCCACGGGAGGTGAGGAGCACTCTTGAGGACGCTGTTTGGGGTTAGAAGGAGGTAAACACCAAATTGCTCTAGTCCTGAGGCAGGTGATCCGTGTCTGGGCGCATTTACCCGGAGAACTGGAAATGCCAGCGGGACTCTGCAGGTGGCTGAGGATTTTGGGGTCAGGAAAAGGACCAGGCAGCTGCTCTGAGGCTCCTTGGCTCTGTGCCTGCACCCTCGGGGGTCAAACAGCAGCCCTGTGGTGGGAAGGGCTGCGTGGAGAGGTGGCAGACTGGGTGTAAAACCACAGTCAGTGCCCTGCAGAGACCTCCCTGCCCTGGGTGGAGCCACCCAGGAGTGCCACCAGCTGCCATCAATGGAGCTGTGCTCTGCTCCTTTCTGTCTCCCTGGAACCTGGCCCGTTGCTCTGGATGGGTTTCTGGGTCAGGCTATTTATATCCCGGGAAAAGCAAGTTTCAGAGGGCCTGTCTGTGGAGCAGCTGATGTCACTGTGTCATCAGCTGCACCCCCGTGGGGGCACAACAGTGTCAGCCCTCAGCCTGCTGCACTGGTCGATGGTTGCCATGGCGATTCCTGCAGTTTGCTGGATTTGAGGGCGTCCCTCTGGATGCAGGTGAGGTGTGACCCTCGTCCCCCCCACTCAGGTCCTGGTCACCTGCACCCCCCCTGTGGGTCAGGGCTGAGCTGGGAATTGGGATGAGCCAGAGGAGGAAATTAGGGGCCAGTCTGGAAATTCAGGGTTGTGAAGGCCACGGACTTAAAATCCCTGGGTTGATGGATTGGGAATTGCTGAGTGGATTTGTGTGCCTGCAGGTGTCTGGGTGAGGGTTCACTAATCCTGTGTGTCGGGAAACAGTGGGGTTGGAAAGGTCAGAGGCACAGGCTGTTAATGAACACAAGGCAGACTGATCCTCTCTCTCCCTGTAGAGATGGGATCAAGGGGACTTTCTCCCTGTCTCCAGTAGCATTGCCTGGGATAGAGTGTGTCATGGAATCACTGAGGTTGGAAAAGGCCTCCAAGATCGAGTCCAAACATCAACCAAATCCCAACCGAATCCCACTTAACCGTATCCTGGTGACACCTCTGCTTGCTTTTTGGACACTTCCAGGGATGGTGACTCCACCACTTCCCTGGGCAGCCCTGTTCCACTGCTTAACCCCTCTCCCAGCAAAGAAATTTCCCCTGATACCCCCCCTGAACCTCCCCTGGCACAGCTCGAGGTGCCCCGAGCGCTCTGTCCCCGCCGTGACTCGTCTCCCTGCCCCTTGCCCGCAGGAGCAGCAGGCCCTGGTGTTCCAGATGATGCAGCAGATCCAGCAGAAGCGGGAGCTGCAGCGGCTGCAGATGAGCAGCTCGTCCCAGCTGTCCATGAGCTCCCTCCTGGCCGCCACCTCGGCCCCCGCCCTGATGACCTCGGCCCCCCAACCGCCCCCCAGCACCAGCTCCCTCCTGGCCTCCCTGTCCCCGCAGCAGCTCAACCCTGGCAGTGCCCTGCTGGCCCCCCAGGCCACCCCACCGCTCAGCACTCCTGGGAACAGCCTCCTGGCCTCGGGGACGGGCCTCCCACCCGTCCTGACAGCACAGCCCAACCCCTTCCTCAACCTGCAGGCTGATGGCAACACCCCCAAAGGAACGGTGCGTATGCTGTTGGCTCTCCCCTGACCCCCAGAGCCCTGGGCAGGCACACCTGTGCTCCAGGTTATTTGGGGGAGCACGCAGGGAGCAGGGCTGGGACGCTCCTTGGCTTTGCTGCATCCCTGATCCCACATCCAAGGGCTCCCTGGCAGGCCCAGGGGCTCCCAAGGTGTCCTTCCCTGTGTGTGCAGACACACGGCTGACCCAGGCAGGGACAGGGTTTGGCTCCCTTCTCCCCAGGATTTGGATGGGATGAGGTGCCCCAGGCAGGGACAGGTTTGGCTCCCTTCTCCCCAGGATTTGGATGGGATGAGGTGCCCCAGGCAGGGACAGGCCGTGGGTTTGGCTCCCTTCTCCCCAGGATTTGGATGGGATGAGGTGCCCCGGGCAGGGCTGGCCCCGCAGAGCCTGGTGAGGGAACACGAAGGTGGCTCCATGTTGACCCCCAGGGGTTAGGAGGAGTCTTGCACCCCGGAGGAGAGGTGGAGAGGCTTCCAACCTCTCTGTGAACAGCCCTGTGCCAGGACACCCGTGCCCAGGGGCTGGTGGGGCGACACTTCCACCTCCTCCATCCCTCCCCTCTACCTGTGCCTGTACCCAGGAGGTCCAGCCCTGGCTGGAGACATTTAGGAGCCACAGGCCAGGGCTGAGGGGCCAGTTGGGCCTGAACCAGGCAGAGGGAACCCTGGGGCTGCCGTGTCTCTTGGTTTTGGAGGAGCCTGAGAGGTGCCAGCGAGCAGGGCCGGGCGTGCAGCACATCAGGGCTCTCTGATTCCTGTCTCCTCTCATACCTGTCTCCTCTGCGTCTCTTTCTGTTTGTTTTTTTTTTTGTTTGTTTTTTTTTTAAAGAACATGAATGAAAAGGGAGCTCCTCTTACCCAGGGACAAGGGCTTAAGATCCCC